CCTCTGGTATGGACACCTTTGGGAGCACTGCAGTGTCTAAGAGTCTCAGGGTAGTGAGTAGAGGCTTACAGGGCCAGAGGGTCACAGAGCTCAGGTGTTCACAGGGGCCCTGACACAGTAATGCTACAAGCTGCCTGAGGTCAGACAGAGACCCGGGCCTTACCTGTATTCTTAGGAGCCTGTGTTTACACATGTGCACACACACACACACACTTTCTGAAGATATCCAGAGCAAGACATCTTCACATCACCAAGGATAGGTGCCCTCCTGCTTATAACCATTGTGTCAGACCCAACTGTAGTGGGTAGCCATTCCAGCTTTGATCTGGAAGTTCCAACCTCCAATGAGGCTTCCGTAACTGTCACGCCTACAAGGCAGGGCCAAGAGAGCACCCTGAAGACCCAAGATCCGGATGTGCGGGCTCTCTTGGTTCCTGGACCCTGGACGCTGGAGGTAGACCAAGCAGAGTTCTCCAGAGAACACCACTGGATTGCGCTACACCTTTCCCAGACCCTGTAACATATCCCTTCACTTGTAAGTTACCCCACAAAATAAACCTCCCTTTTAACTACATGGAGTTGCCTTAATATTTTAAACAATACCCAACTGTTGGGATGGACTGAAGGACTTACCGTATGATTATCTCCCAGGTCTAGGAGTGTGGGATGTGGTCATCTCCTCCATGGCTACCTTATCCTTCCATAAAAGTCCATGGATGCTCCAAGCTGATCTGGCACACAGGCAGGGGAAGGGGACTCTGTCACCTTCTCAAGCAGCACCAGATTGCCCACGTATCTACCATTTTTTTTTTTTTTTTTTTTTTGGTTTTTCGAGACAGGGTTTCTCTGTGTAGCTTTGCGCCTTTCCTGGAACTCGCTTTGGAGACCAGGCTGGCCTCGAACTCACAGAGATCCGCCTGCCTCTGCCTCCCGAGTGCTGGGATTAAAGGCGTGTGCCACCACCGCCCGGCGGTATCTACCATTCTTGATGCTGTCCATTCTGACTCGCAATTAGGTCAGATGTCCATTTATGCTGCCTTCACTGGCTGTTGGTGACTCATTATACCGTTGGTTTCCAGCTACTTCAGTTCCAGAAGCTTCAGCAGGGACCTGCTGACACAATGGCCCATGATCACCTTAAAGTAGGTACAGTCATTTTGGAGTTTCACATGGGAAGGTGCAAATTCTGTCCCCAAAATGTGAGTCAAGGCTCTGGGACTGACATGCCATTAAGGGAAGACACAGGGCTTCCAGGGAAGAAAATCCAGCAGGGCTGTGAGCAGATAAAAAGGGATGCTATACATCCTGCCCTAGAGACAGCCAGTGACCACTGCCCAGCTGTGCAGGGACTTGGTCTCTGGATAAGGAAGCCCAGACCAGGCAGCCACTGTCATGTGCTTCTGAGAGGAGCGTGACTCAGGGATATCTTTCCCCTTTTGTAGACACAGCCAATGGAGCATTCCAAAGCCAGGCTGTTCCGGGCAGCTACAGGGTAGTGTCTAAAACCTCTGTGTCTGAAATTAGTGGATTAGTAAAACAACTGAAGGCTCTTTGGGGCAGTGGTGAAGGTTTAGTAGACTGGAATTTCCCTGTCCCCCCAGGTAGTCAGAGCCATTAGCTTGGAACTTTAAAAAAGTACTGCCCTAAAGGGGTCTTCAGGCTTTGAAGTTTAATTCTAGACTGACCATTCTGTGTGCCTATGCTGGATTACCTAACACCCAACAGCCCCCAGGCACTGGGTACATGTCACTACTGCTGGGTGGCATTGTCAGACTCTTTTTTCTTCTTAATTTTTTTGGTTTGGTTTAATTTAGGCTTGGGCCATCTCTGCTGCCCTTGAACTCACTCTGTATCTCAGACTGACTTTGGACTCATGGCGAACCCTCTGCCTTAGCCTCCAGAGTGCTGGGATTACAGGTTTGTGCTACTATGCCAAACTTGTGCTGGAGTCTTCATTGTTGTTTTTGAGACAGAGTCTGGCTTTCCCACTAGGCAATGCTTTACCCCAGAACTATGTTCCCAGTTCTGGACTTTCATAAATTGGGACTGGGTATGGTAATACAAGCATGTAATCCCAATGCTTAGGAAGCTCAGGAATTGATCAAGAGGATTGATTTGTTTTGTTTTGTTTTTTGTTTTTTTTGAGACAGGATTTCCCTGTGTAGCTCTGGCTGTCCCAAAACTAGCTCTGTAGACCAACCTAGCCTCAAACTCACAGAGATCCACCTACCTCTGCCTCTAGAGTGCTGGGACTAAAGGTGTGTACCACCACTGCCCTGCTGGCAAGAAGATTAAAAGCTTGAGGGCTACAAAATGTTGGAGGTTTTTTGTTTTGTTTTGTTTTGTTTTTTGAGCCTTGAACTTCTTGCCTCTCTCTCCCAGGTACTGGAATTACAGAAATTGTCACCACCCCAGCTTTGTGTAGATGTTTTAGTCCATTCTCTAAAAAGTAGAAATTCTAAACCTCATAGACTAGTCACTTTATAAGTCCATACTGGCTGAAGGAATCAGGGACAGAGGCATGTAATTCCAGGCTTTGTTCTAACATCAACCACCATAAAAGACTTGCATATTGTGGCTCCTACTGGAAGTCGAGGTATGCTAGGCAGAGACCTCAGCTCAGAACACACAATTCCCGGGAACACTGTGTGTAAGGCTTTGGGAACTAGACTGTGACTCAAACAGAAACCCCAAGCTCAAGGACCTCTGGGCTCTGAGATCTGTGCTTTCTAACCACAGAGGCCTCTGTGCTAAGTGTGCCCAGACCTGGTCTCATGGGAGGCCATTCACTGAGGGGAGGAAGGGATAGTTCTGCCAGCCTCCCCGCTGCTCTGACGGGAGCACCTTCTTTCACATGCTTCCATCTGATCCTCTGAGCTGGGAGTGCAGACTGAACCTTTCCACGACACAAAAAAAGACAATCGTCACATCTAAGCAAGGAGGGGTCCTCTCGCCCAGCTGCAGTTCGGAACGTTTAGTTTCCCTGCTTCAGGTAAACAAGTTAGAAGTCGTGGTACCTGACTCCTCTCCAGTGACCGGGAGTTAGAACCGAGCCTTGGAGATGCAGAGTCACAGAACCATCCACAGCAGATTCTCTCAGGGCCCATCCAAGTTTCTGGGATACTCAAACTCAGGGAACAGCCCCTGAGCACTGAGGGATATGGAAGCACCCTGAAAGGCGGGGAGTTCTTGTTCAGTGTGTCTTGTAGCCAGTGGACCTCAGCTTTACACCTACAGGGTGTGTAACATGTTGGCTTGACGAAGGCTAGAAAGCAGCCAGGTGATGTAAGGCCTGCTGCTGACCGCATTGCCTTCTCAGCTCCCCAGCCTGCCAAGGAGCTGCCTGGTCTCAGGCCTCCCGTGACCACCTAGGAATCTCATCAGTATAGTAGGTTGTGTTTCCCAAATTTATGTCCTAGCTCCTAGTACTTTTGAGTGTGACTTTTTTGGAAATAGGGTCATTGTTAGTATAAATGGATAAAGTGAGGTCACACTGGAGAAGGGTGTACCCTAAGTCTTTATAAGAACATCTACCGGATGGTGTCTTTATAAGGAAAAATCTGAGTCAGATGTGATGAAACATGTCCGTAATTTCAGTACTTTTTTGAGGAGGCTGAGAGAGGAAAATTATGAGTTTAAGGCTGGCCAATCTGGAAAACAACCACCTTTCCTGAGGAAAAATAGAAATAAAAAATTAATGGGGTAGCTCAGTGTGGTGGTGAACCCCTGTAAACCCAGCACTTGGGAACTAATGGCAGGGTGCTCAGGAGTTGCCCTGATTTGCAGTTTAAAAGGGAGTTCAATGCCAGTGACTCTAAAAAAAAAAAAGAATAGAAAAAAAGGTGGAGGGGGTAGGACTTGGACACAGGAAGAGACAGAAGCCATTAGAGATGAATGTAGAGATTGGGCAAATGTTTTTAGAAGCCAAAGAACAGCAAGGACTGGACTGACTTCCAGAGCCTGGGAAGCCTGGAACAGGGGCTCTCTCAGAACCCCAGGAGTCCACCCTGGCGTCAGGCTGCTAACATCTGGGACCATGAGGGCAAACTTTTGTTTGAGAATTGAGATCCGGGTCTGAGTTACTTTGTCATAACAACCCTAACAGAGTCAACCATTAGCTTTCAGGAATTCAGGGAAGCTGTAGAGTCGGGCTATCTGCACCTCCATAAACAAGTTTCTGGGCTCCTATGGCCTAGCTGTACCTAGGTCATCTACCAGGTACACCCCCAAGCCAAGCACCACCTGAGACCTTGGCTGAAGCTGTTGCAAAAGCAAGACAGCTGGGGGAGTCTGCAGGAAGCTAGCATATGGGGTCCTCCCCTTCTCCACCTCTAAAGGGCACCACTCCCTGTCCCTTAGGAACAGACTGGATGCCACCTTCATGAGTCTCTAAGAAACGGTCCAGAACCCGGAGGCAGGGTGTGTGTGTGCACAGGGTGGGTAGGGGACTTAGGGCTGGTAGTGTTGGCCTGCAGGACTGAGATCCTAGCCTGGGCAGCAGCAGTTCCTAACAGTATGATATACTCTGAAAGCAGTTCTGGGAATCTTCTCTAGAAGCTACAAGGGAAGGTAAGAGCAACATGTTGGGAAATGGACAGTGCTGAGGCCTTCTAAATGACAATGGATCAGTGCTCTTCAGATGAGGAGGGGATTCAGTTTCCAGCAGGTAGACAGGTAAGCCATCCTTCAAACTCAGACCCTCTTGATGCTCTTAAGCCCACATCCACAGCTTTTCTCATGGGCACTGTCCTAGTCCTTCTCCTGTCCTCTATAAGGCACCTTCTAGGTCCAGCTGCGGACACAGAGTAGTAGCCAGGAAGGATCTGACCCCTTTGGCCGGGCATAGCGACAGGTGTGCTGAAAGATGAGCCACTAAACATGATCCTGTGCTCCGGGAGGGGGGGAGCAGCTCGGTTTCAGCCCCTCCGTCCGCAAGCATGACTGTGTGGCTTTATATAGCCCCGCAAGCCCTATATAAAAGCTGGAACTGAGGTTCTGTCCAGCCAGAGAGCTAACACACTGATCTGGTCTGGCTGGCATACTTCCCACTCTTACCTGCTGAAGTAGGGTCCCCACAGAGATAGCCCACCCCAACCCCAGGATGCCCAGCAGAACTGCCCGCTATGCCCGCTACAGCCCCAGACAACGGCGGCGGCGGCTGTTGGCTGATCGCAGTGTGCGTTTCTCTAATGATGTTCTCTTCTTGGACCACATCCGCCAAGGCGACCTGGAGCAGGTGGGGCGCTTTATCCGGGCTCGGAAAGTCTCCCTGGACACTATCCACCCCTCAGGTGAGTAAGCACTGGTGGACTGGTCTTCTGTCTTTAAGGAGGTAGGGGAAATCCTGTGCAGAGGGCTACAGCCTTGACCCTGCATTCCCACCCTGCCCAGGCCTGGCTGCCCTGCATGAAGCTGTGCTCTCTGGAAACCTGGACTGTGTGAAGTTGCTGGTCAAATATGGTGCTGACATTCACCAGCGGGATGAGACTGGCTGGACACCTCTGCATATTGCTTGCAGTGATGGGTACCCTGACATAGCCAAGTAAGACTGTGGAATACGGTTCAGAGGTTTCATCCCAATCCCTCCAAGCTTCAATTGGTCTCCAGCATGTGAACCCCCAAATATAGCTCCGATGGTGTAGGCAGCAACTCTGAGGGATTCTGGCAGTTTCTACCCGATTACAACATTAGAGCAGGCTGGAAAATCTGGCCACAGGTTCCAAGGGGTCAGGTTTCTTCCTCCTTACTCTGCCTGGAAAAAACAAACAGGTGACCCCAGAATTCTAGCCCTCTGTTCCTGGGTGGGCTGAGTAAGCTTTAACCAACAGTCCTTCACACCCCAGGTATCTCATCTCTTTGGGAGCAGACAGAGACGCAGCCAATGATGATGGCGATCTGCCCTCCGACCTTATTGATCCAGACTTCAAGGACTTGGTGGAACTCTTCAAAGGAACCAGCATGGACTGAGCCACCCCTGACCTTTGTGGGTTTGTGCCTGCTGGAGAAGAGGCAAGGACCTTGCCCCAGGGGCCAGGGTGTGCCCAATGAACATGCCCGTGAGGCAGCCAGGCTGTTAGGACTTGTCGTGGAGCATGACTCCTCTGCCCCTATACCCATTTCTCTGGCCTGGCTTTTTCTCCAGGTTTTTTTTGTTTGTTTGGTTGGTTGGTTGGTTGGATTTTTTATGATGATACTTTTTACTTTTTGAATAAACATGATTCCCAAGCTGTGATGGAGACTAATTAGCGCGGTCCACTGCAAGACCATCGCCGTGCACGCTGAGCTGGGGCTTAGTGGCAGCGCACGGCCTGGGGTTGGAGCCTCGGCGACCCGAGAACCCCAAGCCCGCGTTTCCGGGACGACCTCGCGCGCCTCCGACCTCGCCGTACCCCGTGCGCCCGCGATCACGTGGCCCGCTCCGTTTGCGCCTGCGCGGTGCCGTCA